CACAAACACAAACACAAACACAAACCTGCACAACAACAACAACACAACGACACAACGACACAACGAGTCTCTGTCAAAAAAGGTTCATTTGTGTGGATCTTCAAACAGGTTTATTTTTGGTGACGACTCAAAACAGCAGAAAATGAAACCAAACATTTGTATTTGGTTTGTGTCGTTTATTTATCAAATGATCCATGATTAGTTTTGTGGAAGTTTATTATTTTATAAAATATGAATCCAAAGTTCCTAAAGTCTCAGGTTTGTTCACACGAGAAGTTGTCACGGGTAAAAACAGAAGATTTGATGTGACGTGTTTTTCGTTCAGACGCTGACGACGTTTTTGTGTCTTAAAAACACAAAAATCTGAAACCAGCTGCAGAAAAGATGAATAAAACTTACTAAAAAACTAAACCAGGGACAGACTAAACCAAGAGGACTAAACCAGGAACTAAACCAGGACTAAACAGGACTAACCAGAAACCAGGACCAGGACTAAACCAGAACTAAACCAGGACTAAACCAGGACTAAACCAGGACTAAACCAGGACTAAACCAGGACTAAACCAGAACTAAACCAGGACTAAACCAGAACTAAACCAGAACTAAACCAGGACTAAACCAGAACTAAACCAGGACTAAACCAGGACTAAACCAGTCTAAACCAGGACTCTAAACCAGGACCGACTAAACCAGGACTAAACCAGGACTAAACCAGGACTAGACCAGGACTAGACCAGGACTACCAGGACTAAACAGGACTAAACCAGGACTAACCAAACTAAACCAAACTAAACCAGGACTAAACCAGGTCTAAACCAGGACTAAACCAGGACTAAACCAGGATTAAACTGGGACTTTTTACATTCAGACTAAAATAAAATCATATAAATGGTATTTTTAATATTTTCCATTTTTATATTTTCTGTTTTCATCTAAAAAAAAAAGAAATAAATCAAATTGAAGCTGCGGTGGTGGAACACAGACAGAACAGCGCCCTCTGCTGGTGTCTGTATATATCGTACAGATCAAGTGTAAATAAAGTCACAAAACTCTGGTCACATGAGCTCAGGTCGTGTACGAGTTTACGTCACAAACACATAATTCCACACACTTTTGCGTCACCGTCTGCAGCAGATTTCCTCCTGAAAACTCGACTAAACGCAGAATAAAAAGTGACACGATGTCACTTTTGTCTCTTCTAAACACGGACGGATCCAGACTTTTCCACAGACTCAGGTCGTTTCTCTTCACGAGGTTTGTGGAGTTTTGTGTAAAGTCCCTCAGTCGTTCAGGGAGAATCCAGGACCAGGAGAAACTCAGTTTGTCGACTGGACAAAAGTTTAGTTTGGTTGAAGATGTTTCGCTGCTTCTTCAGTTCTGTCAGACTCTGGTGACTCTTCCTTACATCTGCAGGAGGAGCTAACTACACTGAAACTACACTGAAACTACTCTGGAACTACTACTCTGGAACTACTCTGGAACTAACACACACTTGTTTACAGTTTGTGTTAGTTCAGCCTGTTGTAACCAAGTGTGTGTTAGTTCCAGAGTAGTTTCAGAGTAGTTCCAGTGTAGTTTCAGTGTAGTTTCAGTGTAGTTAGCTCCTGCAGATGTGAGGAAGAGTCACCAGAGTCTGACAGAACTGAAGAAGCAGCGAAACATCTTCAACCAAACTCACTTTTGTCCAGTCGACAAACTGAATTTTCTCCTCACTTTGTGGAGTTTTGTTCGAGTTTCTGTCGTCAGATGAACAGAAACGACTAAAAAAATATAATTGACACTAAAATAATCATGAATCATTTAAGAAATAAACTCACACAAATGAAAACAAACACACAAAAAACACACAAACGACTGACCGAGTTTTTGTATAAGTTTGTGTTTGATGAGGCGACTTCACACTGGTTCAGACTCACACACACACACACACACACACACACACACACACACACACACACACACACACACACACACACACAACAGAACAACACACACACACACACACACACACACACACAACACACACACACACACACACACACACACACACAGACACACACACACACACACACACACACACACACAACACACACAACACACACAGCACACACACACACACAGACACACACAACACACACACACACACACACACACACACACAACACACACAGACACACACACACACACACACACACACACACACACACACACACACACACACACACACACACACACACACACACACACACACACAGACACACACACAGACACACAGACACACACACACACACACACACACACACACACACACACACACACACAAACACAGACACACACACACAATATACACACACACACACATACACACAGAGACACACAACAACACACACACACACACAGACACACACAGACACACACACAGACACAAAGACACACACAGACACACACACACACAGACACACACACACACACAGACACACACACACACAATATACACACACACACACACACACAGAGACACACACACACACACACACACACACACACACACACACACACACACACACACACACACAGACACACACACAGACACACACACACACACACACACACACACACACACAGACAGACACACACACAATATACACACACACACACACACACACACACACACAGTAACAGTCAGTAAATGTAAATGATCCAGTTTATTGCTTTATTTACATCCAAACGTCCGTCTTTTCTTCGTGTAAAAATTGTGGCACAAACATTTTCACATTTTCACATTCGGGTTGAATTTGGATTGTCAGAATTTCAAATTTTCAGATTTTCACATTTATGAAGTTTTCAGCAGTTTCACATTCAACAGTTTAAAGTTTAAAATACGAGAAGAAAGACAGAAAACGAGACAGAAACCAGGACTAAACCAGGTTTAAACCAGGTCTAAACCAGGTCTAAACCAGGACTAAACCAGGTCTAAACCAGGTCTAAACCAGGTCTAAACCAGGACTAAACCAGGACTAAACCAGGACTAGACCAGGACTAAACCAGGCCTAAACCAGGACTAAACCAGGACTAAACCAGGACTAAACCAGGACTAAACCAGGACTAAACCAGGACTAAACCAGGACTAAACCAGGACTAAACCAGGACTAAACCAGGTCTAAGTCACGTTTCCTGTGTGTTTCTTCGTTGTATTTTTATTGTGTTTTTGTTGTATTTTTATTGCGTTGTGTTTGGTGCTTTCACGTTTTTTTTTCACATTTCTGTCTCGGCTGTTTGGCCGATGAAAAACATTCACATTTGAATATTTGAGCTGATCTTTGTTCATTTTGGCAAAAAAACTCACAATTTAAACAAATCCGAGTTCAGTTTTGTGACTAAACGTCGTTGAAAATCTCCACTCGTTTGTGCAAAGTCCAGGCAGTGATTTAAACCGGAAATAAAACACTACAAGAAAAAAATACTCTACATGTCACAGAGAGAAATGGACAGGGACTAAACCAGGACTAAACCAGGACTAAACTGGGTCTAAACCAGGACTAAACTGAGTCTAAATCAGGACTAAAGCAGGGACTTAAATTTCAACATAATTTATATAACATAATATAATTTAAATATATAAAATAAGAATAAGATTATCCAGATTTTAGGTCCAGATCGAAATGTTTTGGACGAGATTAAAAGTGCTTTTGTGTAACAATAAAATAAAATAAAATAAAAGGCGGTTGACGGGGAAAGTTTTCTCCCGAAGTCGTTCACGTCGGCAGTTTTCCTTCACTAAATCTAAACTAAAACTAAACGAGGGGATTTTACTTCACTTCATTTAAATCCTCGTGTTCCTGTTCGTGTTTCAGTCAAACTCGTCTTTAAACACTTCCTGTTCTGGATCCTTCTGAGGAAACACGAGCTTCAATAAATAAAAGGATTTCAGAGTAAAATAAAAATGTTGTAACTTTGACATTCAAGTAAAAACTGAAGTGTGACGTGTTTCTCCCTTTAACAAAATAAAAGCGTCAATCTCAAGTGAAACCTTCAGATCCAGGAAACACACCATGACCTTCAAAATAAAACGCCTCTAAATGTTGTGCTTCAAATAAATACAGTGGCTTTTCAAAATAAAATACATTAGACCTAAGTAGTGTAAGAGGACGAGGAGTACGTTTAGTAGTAGTACTTTAAGTAGTACTCGTAGTGGTACTTGCAGTAGTAATAGTAGAAGTAATAGTAGTAGTAGTGTTTGTAGAAGTAGTAATAGTAGTGTTATTTGTAGTATTTGTAGTATTTGTAGTATTAGTAGTTCAGTAGGAGGAGATGTCGGAGGAGGAGCTGCTGTTACTCGTTGTCTGAGCTCGTTCTACGTTGTTACAGTGTTGTACAGAGTGTGTGTTAAGTGTGTACAGTGTACAGTGTGTGTACAGTGTGTGTACACACAACAGTGTGTGTGTACAGTGTGTACAGTGTGTGTACACAGTGTGTGTACAGTGTGTGTGTACACTATGTACAGTGTACATGTGTGTGTGTGTGTGTGTGTGTGTACAGTGTGTGTGTGTACAGTGTGTGTGTGTGTGTACAGTGTGTGTGTGTACAGTGTGTGTGTGTACAGTGTGTGTGTGTACAGTGTGTGTGTGTACAGTGTGTGTGTGTACAGTGTGTGTGTGTGTGTGTGTGTACAGTGTGTGTGTGTGTGTGTGTGTGTGTACAGTGTGTGTGTGTGTACAGTGTGTGTGTGTGTGTGTACAGTGTGTGTGTGTGTACAGTGTGTGTGTGTATAGTGTGTGTGTGTGTGTGTGTGTGTGTACAGTGTGTGTGTGTGTGTGTGTGTGTGTGTGTGTGTGTATAAGAGTATAGAGGACAGTAGTACTACAGTAGTAGTAGTATATATATATTTGTTGTCTTGCTCCCGGTGAGTTGGGACAGAAACAGTTTGTGTGTAGTTTTATATTCTACAGGGGTACAGGTCCTGTAGTACTCGAGTAGTACAGTAGTACTACAGTAGTACTACTAGTAGTAGTACTCTAGTAGTAGTAGTAGTAGTACAGAGTATTTGTTACCTTGCTCCCGGTGAGTTGGGACAGAAAGGGTTTGAGATCTTCTCCAATCACAGCGTAGATGGAAACAAGACAGAAAA